AATAGGACAAAGCCAATTCTTCACGAAAAGGACGATATATCTACTGACGCCTGTCACTCCATCTTCCCCTAACAATTCCAGTATCTTAAAAAGAGAATAAACTGCACATTCAGAAAAGAAGAACAAGCTCAGATCGGATCCGTTTGCATGTAAACAGATAAATACAGATGGGAGGGGGTCAAATTAATGAAACGCTCAATCAATATTTTTAATAAGCAGATTTATTTGGATTCTTTTTCTTAGCAACTGTAAGGAAAACATAGCAATCGTGTTAAAATAATAGGAGCACCATATTGCAGTCCATCGCATCGTACCATAGAAGGAAGATGACCAGATTGTAACTAATTTAGGTGTGTGTGTGTGTATGGAGGGGGGTTAGTGTTTGCAAATAATCTTTTCAAAGATCTGGATGGCTTTTTAATTTCATGGGATTTGGGATTTGGGAGGAAGGTGGGTGGGTGGGTGATGGAAAAAAAGCTGACTTGGGTAGAACTCATTTGACTTGGGCAAGGGTAGACAACCTTGGCTCTTTTATGACACGTGGACTTCAACTCCCAGAATTCCTGAGCCAGCATGGCTCAGTTTGGAAACCTCTCCCTTTCCCCTCAGCATGGCTGGCTCAGGAATTCTGGGAGTTGAAGTCCACGAGTCATAAAAGAGCCAAGGTTGCCTACCCCTGGACTTGGGGAACCAAGAGGCCACTGGCATCAAGATGATCCCTTGTAGCCCACTAGGCGTCCTGTCATTAAACCCAATAACCCCCTTGATTTGAGGCAAGGGTCCAATTACATCTTAGGTGACAATAGAATCCCGGCCCTTCCTACAGAGGGGACCCACTCCACCCACCCTGCCTCCTTGCCCCAAAGAGTCATTGTGGTCTCCAGCTGTGAAAAAGGACTGAAGAGTGGCTGAAGTCAATCTGAAATACGTTCCAGGAGTGTTTAAGATGGGTGGACTTCAACTCCCAGAATTCCCCAGCCAGCTTGCTGGCTAGGGAATTCTGGGAGTTGAAGTCCACCCATCTTAAACTGCCCACGGTTGAGAAACACTCCTTGAGAGTAATTAGATCATCAGCCATGGACTAAATTCACGGCTCTCATTCCCGGTTCCTTCCTGCAGAGAGCTTCCTGGGCTTGTGGAGGAAAAGCCAGATGGTTGTTCTAAAAAAAACACGACAGAGCCTGGCCTCTCCCTTAGGGCAGAGAGGCAGGAAAGGTGCTGCCATCTTTGTGAGGCAAGGAAGAGGAAGACAGGCGCGCAAGACAGATAGCCGCACAGCCGCTGCCTCTTGGGTAGACAGGCTGATTTCCAGGAGCCATCAATCATTTTCCTACGGATTATGTAAATTCCAGATGCTAAAGATGTATGGAGTCTTGTTACCAGGGGGTGCCGATTGCGTGCCCAAGTCACCCAATTGAAGCTGCTTTTGGTCTCTGGCAAACCGGAGGGATGGCGAGCTTCTGCCTTTTATTGGGTTGTATAAATATTTTGCCATTGGATGTAAAGGAAAGGAGAGCAGACCATATAAAAATATGATCCATGGGGGGAGGATGGAGAGAGAGGGAGAGAGCGAGAGAGCGAGGAGGGGGGAGGGAGAGAGAGAGAGAAGGAGAGAGGGAGAGACAGAGGGAGGGTGGGAGAGAGGAGAGGGAGAGAGAGAGAGAGAGAAGGAGAGAGAGGGGAGGGAGAGAGAGAGGGAGGAGGAGAAAGGGAGAGAAGAAAAGGGTTGGAGAAGGACAATCATTTTGTTAAACAACCTATAGGATCCTGTCCAAATTCTGCCTCCCCCCAATCTTCAAACAAATGACCCCCCCTGGAACAGACAACAGGTGATGGAGTGGACAAGCGGGCTAAACTGGGGGCCTTCAGTGACCCAACTACGAAGCTGACTGGGCTGTGGCTTTTAATCAGAAAGCCAAAAGAACAACTAACCGAGATGAACAGTTAACCTGGATGAATCAACTTCGTCATTAGCACTACCGAGTCGCCAGCAGATCCACCTCCTGATATGAAAAGCCCCTCTCCCCCCTGGCCTGGGTCTCCCGCCTCTTCAGACCGCTATCTTCCCCGAGAACAGACATCTTGCACGGCCTCTGAAAACCGCTGTCCTTCCGTCTGAGATGCCAGGACAATAATTTCGATCAAGCATCCGAAGCCAGAGATTCCATTTTAGATTAGAGGAGATGACAGCCGAAAAGAGGGGGAGGAGGGGGTGAAACCATCTCGAAAGGGCTTTGCTACGCTGGGGACTGACTCTTCCAGGAGAGGCCCCCCAAAAAGAGGTAGCTGAGTAGCCGAATAAATTCAAGGTTTAGCCTGGGAACAAATGCACGGAACTGCAGAGGGAGAGGGAATAAGAAACAATTGTGCCTAATTGCAAGTGCCATATTCATTCCTTCAAAAACTTCAAGCGTGGTTGCAAACCAAGTGAAAGTCTCAACTCTGAAGCAAACTCAACAGGTGGCCTTAAGTCAAAAGTCTTCCCCCCTTTGCCAGTGTAAAGGGGGACACAGGAGGAACTAAGTGGCCGTAGCCACCTAGATTGGTTGGTTACCTGGAGGCAGGCAGATCTTTGCTGGTGGTCCCCTCCCCAGATCAAAGGTTGGCCCACCAAGGTCCAGAAATACCTGCAGGGCAGAGCTTGTGTGGCTTGCAAAGCAAAACGGTCACTACAGCATTCGGTCTAGAGCAGGGAGGTCCGACCGTGGCAATGTTTAAGGCCTGTGGACTCCAACTGCCAGAATTCCCCAGCCAGCTGTGTCCAGGAGGGGAGAGCTGAGTGGACAGATGCCCAGCTCCCTTCCACAGCTGGTGGATGCCAGTTGGAGACAGGGAAGCTGTCCTGCGGAGGAGACGGTCAAGAGGAACGGCCAAAGGCTGCGATCTCATCCAGGCTGGGCCAGGTCTGCCCAAAGCTGGCTCAGGTGCCAGTCAGGCAGAAGGGACAGCAGTGCAATTTTGGGGAAGGGGCCATTTGGAAGAAGGTGCTTTTGGTGGGGAAGGAGACCCCATCTTTACCCATCCCACCTTTTGCAAAGGGGGCGGACTACAACTCCCATCACTTCCAGCAAAGGGGCCGTTTCCGCCCACCCCTCCAGGAGAATTTCCTATTCCTTTGGTCCAACTCCAAAGGAGCCCCTTCCTCACTCCCTGCTCAGACCCACTCCCCAAATGGGTGTCTCCTCTCTGCATTTGGGAGGGCCCCAAATAGTCCCTTGGCCACCAGCAACCGCTTGTTCCCCACGCCGGGGAGGGTTCCAGCCACAGATGCACAGAGAGGAGACGAGAATACCAAATTCGAGTCCTCAAAAGATATGCAAATTGGCTAATCAAGCGGCTTATTATTGCAGATCCCGGCAGCAACAATCCTACGAGATAACTGATCAACCACTAATATCCAATTGTGCGCCGACATTACTACCCCACCGACCCGAGTGTGTGTCTGTGTGTTAAAAAAAGCATTTCTAATTACAGCAAAATTGTCCTCTCCCCCTGAAAACATTTCATCAAGCTCCCTCCCTCAAGTTGGGCAAAAAATAAACCTGTCAGCAATAAGGATGGTGGGTATATTTTTTTCATCTGGGAAGGGGGGGGGGGAGAACCATTCCTGGGGAAGGGGCACAAAGGGAAGGCAGGATGAGAGAAAGGCCTCTTTACATTTCAGAGCTTTGCAACAAAAGCTGGGATTCTAGTCCTCAAGGCTGAGCCCCGAAGGAAGATTAGCAAAGTTGAACGAATTCCAGACTAAGTCTCTCCTTTGCATTAGGAAAGATTACAGAGTAAAGTAAAGTAGAGTAAAACAGAACAGAACAGAATAGAACCATGGAGGTCTTCTAGTCCAACCCCATGCTCAAGACCCTATACCATTTCAGATAGATGGTTGTCCAGTCTCTTCTTGAAAGCCCCCAGTGATGGAGCACCCACAACTTCTGGTGGCAAGCTGTTCCACTGGTTAATTGTTCTCATTGTTAAGAAGCTTCTCCTTAATTCCAGGTTGCTTCTCTCCTTGATTAGTTTCCATTCGTTGCTTCTTGTCCTGCCCTAAAATCGACCCAAAGCAGGCTCGAATTCAGAATTATAACC